TCACTGATGAATATGGATCAGCAGAATTTAACATACACTATCCTATCTGATGAAGATAGTATTATGGATGACACTAATGGTTCGAATCCAAACGAGGCATTCATTGAAGTACGGAACTAGAGAATCAAAAACCAGTCAATATCAAAAAATTATATTCTCTTTCTTTCGTATAGAGTACATAACTAGATGAAAATGTTGATATATTATCCTCATCATCATCTACATCGTCATCACTTTCGATATCATACTTACTTGACTTGGCTCAGCAGATGATTGCCAACTATCCTAATGAACAAGAAACTGAGAGGATGACGGCCGAGAATTATTTGAACCACATTACAGAGTTACTACAAGACCAAGCAACAGATCAGGTAATGCAAGAAATATGCACAATTGAAAGACAAATATTGATTTTTTCCATTTCTCATTAATACGATTAGACAGTCGACGCGTCTGATAATAGTATCATTCTCCTACAATCTACAGGTGGTCAAACAAGTCTTCCGTTCGAAACGGAACATCAAGAAGAAGATAATATTAAAACAATGGTCAAAATGATTTGCAGCAATCATCATAAGTCCAATAATTTCATTAGAGATCTTTTAGAGAATATCAGAAGATCATTTTTATTGTTTACTTATTAGTTTTAATAAATATATGTTCACGTTTATACCTCACAACAGACAAGATTCTCTGAAGAACACAATACACAGTGTTGAGTCATGATAGTAATGATGAACAGACTACCGAAACAGTTTTAACTTGACTTGTAACCACGAAGTAGTTAAAGATGATGATCGGGTAGCTTAAATGGTAGAACAGCCGACCGGTTATCGGAAGATATAGGTTAGATTCCTGTTCTAGTCTAATGATCCTTTTTATCCAGTAACTTCCAGAACTGAATAAGGCATGCCCTGCGGGATATATCGTTTTATACGCATATCGTTCAGTGGACAAGTGAAATGATATAGAGAATTCTTTTTATGAATTTCTGTTGACTTTCTCTTTCGATCTAATTTAACTTTTGACTCACCCTTAACTTCAACATAGAAAATTTTCATTTCTTTATTATTCTAGATATATACTCATTCTGTCTCTCTTTGTTGAACATTAATATTTGAAAACAAGACCAGTCTAAAATAATTGAATGCAAGTACATTATTGCCAAAAATATTTTTAATGATCGAATATTTTTCTTTTAGCATGAGTACGAATAACAGTCAGCCGGGTCAAACTCTGTCAGAGCGGTTAAATATACCGAATGAAAATCAATATAATATTGATCAACTATTATCTTTCGAAACTGCAACTACAAATCGGGCATCATCGATACAACTCAATCCGACACATATGATTTTAAATATTCAAGCTCATGATCATGAACCCAGAACATAACATGCTCGACGAGAACTATGACAACAACAACACGAAGAACGACGACGTTTTCGACAAGAACAGCAACAACAACAGCGGCAACGTCAAGAAAGAAACCAACGACGATATGAACAATGGCAAGAACGTGTATATCAACGATAACATGAACGATATCGAAGAGAGCGATAAGAACAAGGACATTACGCATACTTGCAGCGTCGCTCACCTACAATTGACGAGCACATTGATGCGATACTTGAAGAACGACAATTAGAGTATTATTTAGAAAGAATGACTCCGCTAGAAAGACAGACAGTTCGGGAGCAAGAACATATGAATGAACTACAAAGAAATTCTGCACCGCCAGCACATGTACGATCAGTAGAGAGACAGACAATTTGGGAGCAAGAACATTTGAATGAACTACAAGGCAATCCTGCACTGCGACCACATGGATTACAAATAGATGATACAGAACGATATGCAGAATTCCTACAAGACCAACTATGGCAGGATCAACAAGATCAAGTGATGGCAGTCAACGACATGGGAAACTACGACTTTGTGCAAGAATGCAGAAGAAATGAAGAATTACTTATGCAAAAAGAAGAATGGAAAGATACAGCATTTCGTCTTCAACAATTCCAATAAAACAGTTCTTGACCTACAACTCTTGTAATACACACTTCATTTTTTGTTCTAAATAAACATTTTTTAAAATATACCTTTCAGCATTTTACAGTGTTCAATCAACCTATGTTCATTCGTTCTATGTCAGATAATCACTTCTCATCGATATCTCCCACAAGTAAGGCATAATCATGATTTTGACTATGACTATTATCAGAAATGAACCAGTCTCATCACTTATCAAAGTAAATTCAACGGAATTTTTACTCATTTCATTCCAACAAATATAACGAACACCAATATCCACAATTCATATTCTATTTCAACACACCACACAACTGACTAATTAAGATACGCAATAGAAATGATCCATATGTCACCGACGATGATAAGTTTTTATATAACATATCTTCATCTTTTTATATCTCAGCAATGAATCCATCATAGCTAATCCATTACTGATAAAACACCATTGCAACAAAACAGATGAAATGAAACTTGAATACTACTGTTCTGAATATATTCGTATTTATAAAAAGAATATTAGATGTGTAGTTACTTTTGTAACTGAGGTGACGATTAGATAGCTTAATTGGTAGAGCAGCCGACCGGTTATCAGAAGATGCAGGTTCAACTCCTGTTCTGGTCTAATGATCCTTTATATTCAGTCTTTCGTACTGAATGAAGCATGTCATGTGGAAATATTCAATTTATTTCTATGAATAAAACTGCGTGAACAAGTGAAATGATGTAGAGAATTCTTCTTATGAATTTCCTTTAACCTTCTCCTTCAATATCAGTAGCTTTTAACTCACACTCTCAAGATGAAAAAGTGTAAGTGGTTATTCTTTGGAAAAAACCACTAGGAACACTACACACTGTGGAAACATTAATTATAGGTGGGAGCCAGATTAATGTTGGTAGTTCTAAAAAGAATACCAGTGGAAGGAGTTGTTATATGATCTTTTCATACAATTCAATGTACCTCTATATGAATGAATACTATCGAAAATTGAGGTGTCTTTGATTATCGTGTAGCTAATAATGATGTCAAAACATACCTGATAATGATCCCTTAAGCAAGGATTGAAACGCGTCGTATGGTGCTTTGATATCCATTCTATAAACTCACCCTCACACCCTCACCCTCAACTCACCATTTCAAAGATTCCTGCGATATACTTTGGATGTTATCTCGCCATTCGAATCCTAATTGAGAGTCCCTTTTTGACTCTTATATAGATTTCATTTGATTTGAGATAATATTCTGATGCAGGTTTAATCAATTTCAAATTTACCTGACGAGTCCCTTAAGCAAGGACGAAACGATCGTCGTAAGTAGCTTGGAATTATCTTTGAAACTCAACCGCCGGTCAAATGCGGTTAACCGTGGTTAACTGGCGGTTTTAGAGCTGTTTCTGCGACATGAGAGAAATAAAAATCTGATCAGTCATTTGCGTTGATAAGCATACATATATTAGTCTTTTCAAGTTCGACATCTTTTACACAGATTGTTAAAAATTGTTTATGATCAATCTCATAGATGCCGACGAATTCGTTTGATTTATTAAAAAGAATTAAATAATGGCGAGAAATTCTTGTTTCTATCGCATTCGATTGGTCAGTGTTATGAAGAACACGAAACAATTTTTCGTACCTTTACTTTGTCTTCACTTGAAGACACTGGGTATTCAAGAAATTAAATAAGACAAGTAATCGTTACAGCACATAAAATCGCATTCTTTTAAAAGCGAAGTTTTAGTTATTATTTTAGATGAAAATGAATTCATTTCAAAATTTTTATACATAAATTATTAGCCCGATTGAAATAATTTATACTTGAACCGGTAACGTCAGTTACAGCTATGTCTGTTGCATACTATTGAACTCGAAGAGCATAGTAGCTATAACGTTAGGAATCAATAGAATATAAATATAATTTGTATAAAAATATAGAGAAGTGACATTATTGACTAATTTTTATTCCTATTACATCCAAAAAAGTATAAAAAAAACATCTTTTGTGTTTTTATTCAACAGCAGAAGCTGTTGCATCATCTGGTGGTCCACCTGCCATCATCATTTTAAATAAATTAGCTACGTTTCCTGCTGAATTACCCTCTGAAATGAATAAATCAAGATTCGATGCGGATTCACGAGCAAATTCAGATGCACGCGAAAACATTTTTTGTTCATATTCATGAATTGCTTTTGTCCGTTCACCCGATCCAGTGATAGCTAGAGCTAACTCTGTCGCATCTAACATAGCTAAATTAACACCTTCACCTGCAAATGGTGACATGAGATGAGCAGCATCGCCCAGTAATGTTACTCCAGGCTTTGTCTCCCATTGATGATCATCAGGCAATACATATAAAAGTCGTGGAATGAAATTATCGTCACATAAATGTACAAAATCAAGTAACTTTTCATCCCAGTCGGAAAATAATTGAAGGAAATGAGTACGAGCTCGTTCTGTTTGATTAAAGTCAACGCCTGATTCGGTAATCCAATTTTCTGGTGCACGAAAAGTAATGTAGACGCGAATAATATTATTTCCATTGCGCTGTGCAAGGAGACCTTTATTATCTAATAGAGCATTTAGAGTGCCACGACCAACTAATTTACTAATCTCCAGATGACGGTCATGGACTTTGGAGAAGCTCACTTCTACCATTGAAACACCGGTATAAGTCGGCTTAGCATCTGATACAAGCGGACGAAGTCGTGACCTAACACATTTGTTATACCTAATATTCTCAATAAAAATCGCTACTAATAAAACTTACTAAGCACCATCGGCACCAACGACTAAATCAACAGTTTCCGTTGCACCATTGCGAAAAATAAGTTTGTGTTGACCATTGCCAAGTGATTCTACACTTTCTAAACAATGATCCTGTCGAATAGTGTTTGGTTTTATTGAATCGAGAAGTAATTGACGTAGATCACCTCGGTCGATTTCAGGCCGATCAAATTTATCACCATGTACTACTTCGTCGTAATGGACTATACCATACTTATCAATGATGTGTCAATCTTCTCCTTCAGGACGACACAACTCTTTAAACTTGTCAAATAATTCTGCTGTTTGAAGTGCATATTGTCCCGATTCAGTATGTAAGTCTAAACTTCCAGCTTGAGATCGAGCATTCATAGAATTTTCTCGTTCATAAAATTCCACTTCAACACCTTTAAGCTGAAGAATGCGTGCTAATGTAAGACCACCTGGTCCAGCTCCTATAATTGCAACACGTTCTAATTGATTTGTTGTCATTCTTGAAAACAAACAGATTTATTATCAATTAATCAATCTAAATTGAATTAATAATGACACAAATATGATGCATTTTAATTTATTCCCTTGACTGAAAGTCTTGGGTCATACAAACGAAATGTCCGTCCGTCCGTCCGACCGTCCGCAGTAGGCGAGCGACATCGTCGTACGCGTCCTCCCGAGCGTTAGCGACAAAAAACAAAAAAAAACACGTAATTACTACTTTTCTCAACAGCAGGACATCCTAGATCTGCGAGCCCTGAATAAAAAGTGTCAGAGATTTAATTTCACATATTTTATCTGCTGGCATCAGTTTGCTTAATTAGCGAGAAAAACGCTAATTTTTGATAATTAACACTTTTCACCGTGAAGCTAGCATCTGACAAATCTGGCTCTCGAACCGAAAATGTCCGAAACTAAATTTTACATATTTTATCTGCTGGCACCAACTTCGTGGCGATCTGTAATCGCGGACTGTTGGAGATGCGTTATGTGGGCGTTGGTTTAGTGGCTTTTTGTGCATTTTCCATGTTTTACCCATGGGGACTTCTGTTTTTTTTCGTAATTTGGTCCAATCAGGTTTGGAGTTTTATTGAAGTTGGTGATTGTGTGTGTGTTTTCCGAAAAGGGGTTGGGTGTGTTGCTGTGTATCGGATTTCGTTGGCAATGTGTATCGTTAGTGGTAGTGTTGTGGTGCAAGCGGCTGGCTTAGTGCGACACCTGGCGGTGTGCGTTTGTGTCGTGTTTCGTTGTCGTATGTTCCGTACCGGCGAGTTTTGTAGGTTTGTGTGATTGTTGTTTTTAGAGTGTGGGTAGCTGTATACTGCAGCTGGGGTGCGGATTCATGTATGGCGTACGGAGGTTTTGGTGATGTTGTGTCAGGCATGCTTTGCTTCCTTTGTTTGTGGTATCAGGTTTGTTTTTGTGCGGACTGTATTGTTTGTTTTCGAGTTAGCGGTTTGTTTGTTGAATGTTTGGAAGTTCTTTTCCGACTAAGTCTTTCTGCAGTTCGGAACGAAGGAAGTACTGCTGAAAGGGTTGGCGATGACTTGTTCGTTGATGTTGATTAGAATGTTTAGTATTGACGCGTATCTCGCCGTCTGCTAGCTTGCGCGTTTTGGGGATATTCTGAGGGCGTGTTTGTTTCTTAGATGCCAGCCAGAGTTAGCTTTTTAAACTTCCCGAGCGGGGCCAGAGAAAACTACTTGTGAACTTTCGGAAGAAGTAATACGAATAGTTTCCTCATTTTGGACTATTTTCAAACGATTAAAAGGTTTTCACAGTGACTTCTAGACCCATCGAAATCAGTTTTAAGTAGATAACTGGAGTAGTTTTATTCAACCATACCGAAGACAACAAAATTCATTTTCTGTAAGATGCGAATTTCGCGCACCGTACATGTCGGGTTCGTTAGCACCAGAATCTTTCAGTCAAGGGTTAGTGAATCGAAGATGAGCGTTACTTGTAACATAAATAAAATTGAGTTCTTTTTCATCCTGAAGACAATATACATATATATATATATATAGCTCAAGCACGTGTGAAAGATGTTTTTTTCTTTTCTGTTTTTCACCTTTTTACTTATTCATGAAGTCTTTTATATACCACAGAATTTTTATCGTAAGCCGTAATTCACATAACTGACGTACTTTACTGCCGTTTCGATCGGTACGGATGCATAATAATTGTTGTTTGACCATTTGTTTATGAATAAACGAAATATAAACCAAATCATTTTTAAAAAAGGAAGAAAAACACTGCACACGAAAATTATTTCTAATGTTCAGATGATTGTGTGTTGACACATCCTTTTGTCATGGAACTTCGGACAATTTCGACATAATCAAAATGTCTATGAGTTCTACACTATGCCATATAACTATTAGTAATGTACTTTTTTCTAGACATCTGACAATGGAAGGGTGTGACCTGTTGAGCGAAAATCTTAAACATATTCGGATCAAAACAAAGCTTTCAACGAGAAACTAACAAATTTAAAATATGAGCTGCGTATGGCGTACCTGGACAGAGATATTCAATTTTGAAGTTATGCATTAGTAGAGTATGAAAGCATGATAATAGATGAACTAGTCACATCAATCCTTCAGTTTATTTATCAGATTTTTCGAAAACGAGTCTTCAAAATCTAGGTGAGCTTTATTAATAGTATCAAGACCTCTCTAGAGACAACTTCTTCTGAGGTCTAATGGTGAGAAGTCGGAAATATATTAATTATTATACATAGAAATCGGGCATTCGTCTATGCTCTTGACTCTATTTTACGTGAAATTTATACATCATAACTTGGTTTTCCCACAAAATAAACATCATATTCGGAATCAGCGCAAAAATTTGAGTCGAATAACATATGTCAGTTTTTGTCGGAAAATAGTTTTCACTAAGACATATGTTATTCGACCAA